ACAACAACACCAACAACAACAACATCCCTCAAACAACTGTCCTCCCAGATGGGCGACTGGTTTATTCAAGTGATTAAAAGTTAAAAATTCTCCCCAGATCTGTTAATGTGAAACCATTGCAAGTAAAACTGATGCTAATACCAACTCTTAAAGCCAACAGTCAGTGTCAGTGACAGCGTCTTGTCACTGTCCATATATACATATATATACTATGTGTGCCTTCAGCACGGATATGGACCACAGACTTGTAGAAAACACATATTTAAATACATACTGTGTCACAAAAGAGGGTAAAATCTATCAATAATTGTACTTGACACTTACGTTTGTCCTGCAAAGAGTCGTGGGGCACTTCGCCCTGAGGGCTCTCTTCCAAATCTCCATAGTGCAGGACTTTATGGTTCGGAGACAGACGGCAATACCAAAACTTATCTGGAAAAAAGACAAAGGAAGACAGAGGATAGAAAAAGGGAGAGAGAGACATATTTAGAGGAGCTATGAAATACGTCAGCGGCAAGCATAAGACATCATATGGGATTGTATGAGTCATCAACAGGAGAGAAAATTAGCATGGCAAAAAAACTGTGACAAAAAAAGAAAGAAAAAAGAAAACAGCCTTGAGGAAAATCCACAGATGGGCCATGATGCTCTGCATGAGGGAGGGATCTTGATGGGCAACAAAACAGACAGTTGGCCTTCATCATTTTAACAATGACTCAACAATACACACACTCCAGTCAAGATCACAAAAGAAAATCCAGGCTTTTTTCTCTGGCTCAAATGAGGCAAAGATGAAATGAAACCTTAACTGTGACTAGATGAAACAATATTGAAACATGTACCAAGTCCTCAGCAGAGGTAAGAAAGTGCCCACTCTACAGGAAGTAAGAGATAATTCAATGAAGAAAATTATAGTCTATGTTTAAATTAAGTAACAAATGCTCAGTTTACAAGGTAGTCAAACAACCAAATTGTTCTTATACCACAGTGGCTAAAATGTACAATGAAATACAAAAAACAACTCTTCATATCCACTTGTTGCAACTGTGTTAAAAGGTGAGGAGTCAACTATACGCCCTTTTTGGAGGCAATACTTGCTAAATATTAAAAAACACAAGTTGAAAAGCCAAGAAGGCAGTACAAGTGCAGGACAGAGTGGTAACAAGCTGATCTGGCTGTAATATTTATAATACAGGTAAGCCATAAGACTTAAAATAAGAAGCACTGAGTTAAGTGTGTTTTTCTCTTGGCTGAATGTGATGTGGAGGCCTGTAACTACCAGCTGTGTCTGTAAAGGGCTGGTCAACAACTCTGCGGCCAGCCTGGTGTTCTTTAGCGCTTCCATGCCAAGGTGGGCACCAAGCTGAGCTGGCAGTGAGCGGGCACAGACTGGGGAGGTCTGGCTGGCGTGTGCATGGGTGGCACGGTCCAAATCCTAATTGCTGAAAATAGACAGTTGGCGGTGCCAGGCTGGTGCACAGTGGCACTGGTCCACAGGGGAGCGGCTAGAGATGTGTGTGGCAGCTGCGAGGGCAGAGGCATTTTTGGGAGAGGACGCCATCAACTGCTTAAATGATAGTGCAACTGATTTTGTGCGTGCATGTGTCTACTTTCAAGCACATATGTTCTTCCTTTGGCTTGAAGACCATTCATCTCTATCTTGGATTGAATTTCATTCTTTTACCACTATAATTGTCTTAATCTGAGTCAGCTGCCAGAACGTGGGTGAACGATACAGTGAGATTCAACAGAATCAGGCCAAATTTCCAATTTTAGTTTTGCTTTAGTGCAGCATTTACACAAGGAACACTCTCCTGAGCCCCGAGTGCTGTTACCTGCCAGCACCCTGCACTTAAAAGATTGCACAGGTAGTCCTCTTTCCTCCAAACTTCAAAACACCATCAACCTGAGCTTTTAGAGAGAAGCATTCCCTTGTAATGGGTAGACTGGCACTTTGCAAGGTAGAGGGAGAGAAGAGTCATCTGCACTGAAGTCAGCTAAATTAATATTTGATGTAGGTACTTGAGTCTCTGCAGGCTGGAGGACTTTGAAATAGTCGTACAAGACGCTGAGGGAGAAGTGGGAGGGGGGCAGCACATTTTATGTATGTAAAAGATTGGACATATTATACAACAGTAGAATGAGAATTAACATTTCTAAGAAGTGAAAGTTTGAGTGGTGAACAAACGACGAAAAAATTACACCAATAAACCAAGTTTCAGCATTATGTATGCAACACCCTGCTTTTGATTTAATGTCTCATTTCATGTGAACACCAAGAGAGAATCAAACTTGCTATAGGGCTCCTTTTATTCTTATTCAGCTTGCCTAAAGTTCTGCAAGACAAAGTGCTCTTCACATTGTCATTGCATGGCTATACTGCAAGTACCAGCATGAGAAGAAAGGCTCAGAGAAGAGAGGGAGGAAAGGATTATCATGAATGGATGGTGGGAAGAGAGATGAGAGTGATAGGGGATGGATGAAGGAAGGAGCACATGATGGTAATATACTTTCACACATGCACAAGGAGAACGATATGAAGCAAACCACAAAAAAGTGCTGTGGAGAAACAGCATGTCCTTAACTCCTTCAATAATCCTCAGAGGCAAAGACAGCTACAGCTAGCTTGTAGCAGGCAGACGACATTTCTACAGTCAGTGTGCTGTTGCAGCAGATTAAAGCTGGTGTAACCCTAAAGGGCTAGTGTGCTAAATTAAATCCAGTGAGGCTCATGAACTGCTTTATATACGGTTGTGTGCGGGTGTACTGCTCCTGAATGGCTAATGGATTTGTTTCTGTGTTTGGTACGAATGCTGGTGCGTGCTTATATGCGCATGTGTCCTAAATTCTTCTGACAAGCGTTGTAGGATCTCTGAAGTAATAACCATGATATGGTGACATGGGAATATTCACAGCGTGCCGTTGTGTATAAGCCAGACAAGCATAAATCAGCCGACCACAAGCAGCGAAGACGATCAAATGGTCAACGCTTTCCACCTGAACATCTGTCCTGCTCTTTTCAACTCGGATCCCTTTCCCCCTCTTACATTCATTTTCATGTTTCCGTAATCCAGTTTTGACGACATCTGGATGACAGCTGCCAAGACGAATTGTGATCAGGCTTTCAAATGCCAGAATACATCGGTGTCAGTAGAGAAAAATCCACCTGGTTGTGCTCAATTTGATTTGACTCATTTGGAAGTACAGTTCCTGCAGTAATGAAGTAACAATAAACCAAACCTGAGCTTGTCACTGGATTTTTGTATATCAATCAATGTATTTGTATATATAGACAGAGAGGGGGTGAGGGAAAGTGCAAGAGGGAGGACAGAAGAGTGAAGGGATCAGGTTGCAACCAGATTAAACCCTCTTTGACTGAGGAGCAGTATATTATACAGCGTAAATGCTAATGCTGCTACTCCTCATCCTCCCTCATCTCCTTCCTCACCTTGTGGCAGAAAGTGTGAAACATGATATTAGGGGAAATGATTTGAATACACTCCTATCTGAGTTGGCTCCTGGGGTTTTCACTTTTCACCCTTCTTCCTCTCCTCCACCACTGAGAAGGAACAAGTGCTTACGCTAAATTAAATCAAAAGAGTGTGTTTATAGGTGAGTTTGTGAACACAACATTTGCTCCCAAAAAATCTTTACTGACCTTGAACATCTTAAAAAAGAGAGTTGCAGCCTTCGACAACCACCATGCCACAAATTGACTGACTTGTGTCACAACAAAACACACACTCCATCCTGCAGAGCCCGGGGTTACCGCAGTCTGCTCCTTTGTCATTCTTTAATTTTTTTTCTCAAAGCTTTCTCTAGAATCTATCTCGACAAGTGTGTATAAATGCATGTTTACCCTGCTTTTGGCTTAACGCATCTTTGTACTTCTTTGAATTCCATATATCTCTGTGGCAAGTGGGGGGCAAGTGGAGGGGATGAAGGTGTATTTGTGCATCTCAAGACACAAAGACATGTGTACCACATTTCTTTATGTGTCTGGGTAAGGCAGGCAAAGTGTCGTTTGTCTATATGTCTCTGTCTCGAAGGCTGACAGAGCCAGAAAAAAATGTGTGAGCCATCGTGACAGCAGCCCCACAGCAGTCCAGAACTTCAAAGATCTCTTGTGATAACATATCTTGTGTGGGGTTTTCATAATGCAAAGGGAATAAGGCAATGAGTGGGGGTGAAGAGAGGAGGGATAAAGAACACACAGACAGGGAGAAAAGAGAGGAAACTGAAGAATTCCCCTTACGAACACAGCAGAGGTCTGTCTGGTTACTGTGGATGTATGCGTGTGTGTGTGTGTGTCTAAGTTATGTGTGTCTCACCTTGCCTCCTGCGACTACTGATTTTCCTGAAGCAGGTTCCCTCACACAACCTGTTCAGCCTCTGCTGTTTGATCAACTCCATGATCTCCGGCTGGATCTTCTCTCTCAGCTCCCTACAGAAAAACAGAAAATTAACACACACAGTATCAGTTTAAGATAATTATTTAAATAATGTAAACCACGCCTGTTCAGATCTGGCAAGCTACAAGATGCTCTAAAACCTGGAAATTAATGTTTTTACATTTTCCAGGTTTTCTGGCAGTGTGCAATTTTCAACTGACAAACTCCCCTGGATTATGTCTGTCAGGAGGGAACAGAAACAGCCAAACACACAGATACACCCCTTAGAAGTATGTCATATAGCGTCCCAAAAGGATGATCAGTGGAAACCTGTGCTGCTTCAGCTCTTGCTGTCATTTATTCATGCATCTACATGTATGTGTCTATGTTGCATATGAATGTGAAGTCACCATGAATTATGTATATTATCTGCCTAAGCAGTGCTGCTACTCCCCATCTTTTATTTCTTGTCATTGAAATCAAGTCTTTTCTTCTAATTTATCTTTTTGTTCCTTTTACCTTTTACTAGAAATACGCAGACTTTTGACAGGATTTCAGGTGTTTCAGACACATAAAAGCTGTGCATTTCTCACATTTTCATTTCCCCTTACTGATGTCCATGATCACATTTTCTTCTTTCTCTTCCTCCCTTTCTCCTTAAGGCTCATCTGCTCTTGTCTCCCTTCATCTGTCTCTCCGCTTGCCCTCGCTGTCTATGTGTTTGCCTCATCAGTGACTGCAGTCATTACATTGATCTGTGGTTGGACATTCACTCTGACATCTTTAAAAAAAACTGCTAGCGGGGCAGGCGTGGCTCATCGTAGGAAGGATGGATGATGCTAGTTTGGCTTTACCGCCTCATGTGCTATTCTTCTGACTGAGTTAGACACAGGTCAGACTGTTTTTGTCTGAGAGTTTCAGATGGTCGTCTCAGAAAGGAGCTCCAGTTTCAATTTAAACTGATTATTTCTGCCAAATGCAGAAAATCACACACAACTGAATTAAAGGGCTGATGTGTTGGACTGGTGGACCTCTGTAAAAGAAGCTCTCTAGCTGATATCAGGTGTTCAAATTATGAAAGAAGGCACCAAAAAAAAAACATTTCCAGTTTTGTAGAAATGTACCATACCTATACAGTATATCAGTTAAGTTAAACCACTTTTTCTCCTAATTTTCCGGGGGCTGGATTAAAATGTGTGTATTAACATTTTCTCATAAGTGTATCCTCAGCAATTCTGCTGCATGAATATTTGATGTGATATTGATTTTATTTTATGTGTAAGCAACTTTCAGTAAACACAAAACTTTCTACTTACAATGCAAAAACTGCATTTTTACTATTCAAAGCAAAACACCTCCAAGATGTTCTTACAGGAGTCAAAATGACATAAAATAATCAGGTGCTTGACAGAAGATACAGCTTTGATCTCAAGCCATAATAGTTCCTCTTCACCTTTTTTTGATGTCTTAAGTCATTCTCTACAGTAATTGATAGCAGAAAACTGGCAGTGATTGCAGCAGGTACTACAGAGCTCCTTTAAATCTGCGGCCTGACATGCTCTGCTCATTATGTTTACAAGTCATAACTGTACTGTATTGATTGGAGGAAAATTCCACCCTCGGGCAGTCTCACACTGCTGAAGAGAGAATGTCTGTGATGTTCCCTGCTTTTCAACATTTATTCTGTAATAAAATGTTAAAATGTGCCTTTTCATTTCAGCGCCTAATTAAATTACTAATCTCCTACTTTTCCCAAAATGTCTTTTGACACCAGCCTGAGATTTGGGTGTGAACTTTCATTCTGCTATACTTTTCCTTGATAGTACAGGGAACTGTAACTGATATCCATTGTGTGGATATCAAAAATGGACCCTGAGTTAGAAGCTTTATTACCTGTAGTTTTAGGATACATTTTTATGCAGCTTCCTTCGCTTTTGATCTCCTTTCTCCCCTTGGATTAATTGGTGGCTAAAGTTTCCCTTCCAATATCGATTCAATAAGCCCTTGGCTCAGCATTGATTACTGTTCAGAGGGACAAGCTCTCTCCGTGAGGCGATTTTTCAATAGTGCTGGCTACTTCATTAAATACAGGCAGGACAAAACAATGTTCTCCATTACAGGGCCTGCATCCATGATCAGTCAATGAATGATCTATTACGGACTAGCTCTCCATGCTTAGTGAGCTGGAGGGTTGTTAATCGAGCATTCACTGGGAACGCCATTTGCAAACAATTTGAATTGAATGCATATTTTCAATCATGAGATGATAGCACCGGTGTAACCTGCTTTAGGCCAGTAGCTGGCATTTGGTTGACAAATGGAAAAGAGTAAAAAGAAACAATTACAAGCATATTAATGACCACAGCTCTTTTTTGTAGATGCAAATGATGTCCTCATTAGGTAGATGGGAAAGATTTGGAAATATTTGAAATGTTTTTATTTATACTGTTTTTATTCCTATTTATTTGATCTTATTAATTTTATTGTCTTTACTTCATCTGTGCTCATGTCCCTTGGCCTTATCGTCATTCATCTACCTTGTCTGGTTTTATTTCCTCTTGTAAAGCACCGTGTAATATTGTTAGAAAAGTGCTATATAAATAAAGTCCAGAGTGTATTTTCCTCAAAGCAAAGCTGTCAGACCTACAGTACAATCTGCATAAATAAAATCTGAGCAGATATTATTCACATTAATTCGCATTTCGTTGCCATCTCAACTTCAATTTAACTTTTTGACAAATGTCAAAGAGCATTTTTGGATTTTACACTGCAAAAACATCACTCTGCTAACTGACTGTTTGACTCACAGGATGGGGCGGGACTGGAAGTCTTCCTGATTCATCCTTTCGGACTGGCGTATCTTCAGTATCTCTGTGTAGCTCAGGTTCTGCAGGCGACTCTTGAACTGGTCCAGGGAATTAGGCTTGAGAGTCAGTGCTCGCATGATCTGCTCCCTCACCACCTGCATTACCTGCAGAGGAGGAGAAGAGGCAGAGGAGGGCCGGGTGAGATCAACATGGATGCAGGCAGGACTTAAAGTGTGCAGTGGCCGCAGTCTGGAAGTCAAAACTAACCCCCTCCCCATTTTTGGGGAGTCAGGGGAGCAAATAAATTCTGTTCAGTTCCCGACAGGATTAATGATAGAGTTGTTTTTTTTTTTTTCAGAACTGGAGCCTATAATCCAGTCCGCTGCACTGAGCCTTAAGAGGAAAAGAGCAAAGCAGAATAATTCAACAGTGGCTAGTCAACTGTTAGCCCTAGTATCATGCATCAGTGAAATGCATGACAGAACTTGCCTATAATAGCCCAGCTAGCTAATACCATTAGTCTGGCTGTGGCTGCAGAAGCATGACATGAGTGGTGTTCCAAGTCATCAATCCCACTCGAGGGGTCTTATTGTAACAATACAATAGGAAGGCATTTCACAATAACACATAAAACACATCATGCATGTCGACATCAATTAGCCTGCCGTGTCTGCATTGCTGTCAGGAGATAATTAAAGGCTACACACTGAAGCCGTAGACACACACACACACACACACACACACAAACATTTAAAACTAATGCCCTGAAAATCAAACAGAGTCATCATGTGCAGTGAGCGATAACAAATAATATAAATCCTCTCAACTAACATAGGCCACAAACACAGACTGGAAAAATATATCATCTTATGTTTAAAGGAAAAGCAGTACAATTAGAAAACTGTAAAAACTAGCAAGGGGATACATGTGTTTGTATTTGACATTCTGTCATTAAATCTGGCGTGAAAAACCTGGTTTGAGTAAAATATAAGCAATACATAAGAAATGTGACTGGAAAATCTCCGTTTGTATGCCTTTTTCTGTCACTTGATGTATCAATTAGTTTAGAATAGCTACTCCAACTGAGTAGAAATAGCTTTTAATAAAATGAATGGTTATTAAAATGTGACATGGAATTAAACCCCAGTTCGAGTGACTTTATGACAGGACTACACTGATTTTTAACACAGTTAACAAAGCACTGAGTCTTTCCAAAGTATAAAATCTCCTCATCCTTCTGCACATATGCTTGAGCCTCCGGAAAATGAGTCCTAAGCTGAAATCTTCAATGACAGCTGCTTCCATTTAGCTTTGCACTCTGATTTGCATTCTGCATAATTAGAATTTGAACACTAATATAACTCAAAGATTGATTCGTTATTTGTGAAGGTATTCAGCCTACACACACACACAAGGGACTTGACTGAGAGCAAACAAAATTGTGTTACTAATGTGCTGAAATTGTTCAAACACAACGGAACATCACTTGCAACAGTGGTTTCCCCTCAAAACTGAGTTTAGCTTGCAGTTTTCAGGTTGATGTAAGCCTGTAAATCATGCTGTGATATTTGGCCAAAAGAATAAACTTTTCTCTGGCCAGGTTGAGCAGTGCTGTGACAGATGTGACAAGCAGTACTGATTATGGATCAGCCTTGTTAGCCGGCACCTTTGAGCCTGCAGAGGCTGATTCACTGGCTCAGATCATGCTGAGGTGACAGAAAGAAATAGACAGTTTTCTCCTCTGTTCTTTGATTTTACTCTTTTCTCTGCTTACCTTGTTGATCAAATGCTTAAGGACATACAAGTACTTCCAGCCTTAGCAAACACATTTCACAATACGTTGAATGGAATTACAATGAGAGACAAGAAGCGTTTAAGATGATGTTTTTTGTGCATGTTGTTTTGGGATTTTCCTTGTAATTGATGCGCTTTGCTGTTCTATACTATTCTGTTTCATCTGGACTCCTCAACCTTAACAATCATGCTAAAACCCAGTGAGCCAAGATCCCAAACATAGTCTTATGTAATATTCTTCTTGCTTGCCGATTACTCATCAACTTGCTAACCTCTGAACTCTCACTAGTCAGACTAAGCCAGGGGTGAGAGCAGTAAAAATAGAAGAGTTGCGTTGTTGAAAATGAAATATGAATGCCATAAACCTCCGCCCAGCACCAAAATTCTGAAAAACTCAAGACAACAAAGGCGATCGAGGATAATCCTCTTGAATCAGCATCACATTCGCTGTGTATGAATGCATTAAGAAGTAGTTTGGGCTCAAAGTCCCCTTTGTCGAAACACCGGTGCTGCAAAGTGAAAGCGCACAAAAAGGAATTAACCCATTTTTAATTCCATATCTGTCCTGAAGGTAATACTCAGCTCCCACCACAAATAATTACAGGGACATTTTTTTTAACTGATTACACAATTTAATCTGGGGATTAGCTTTGGAATGCAAATATGTTCAGAGGTGGTAATCACAGTTTATTCTCTAACAAACGGTCAACAAACTGACCTTAGAAAATAAAATTGAAAAATAGGTTGACAATGGACGGCTGGGTCAATTTATTTTTTAATTAGAGGAACAAGCATACGCCTTTTCGGCACCAGCTGAGCTCTGAAATGAGCTTTAGCACATACTGTATTAGTGACCAGATATGACACATTATTATAATCCTCAGTTCAAGAATCACTTGCAGAGTCTGGATTATGGCCCTGTGTTACCCATGTAGTGCTATTTATCTGCAAAGCTCAGACACACATCAGTGCGCATAAGGTCTTCTCTGGTGTGATCCAGATCTAACTGGCATTACATTTGATTCAGAACATCAGTGACTCAGCACAAGTACATTCTTCAAATCCCCTTTGACAGAGGCAGACAAAATTTAAGATCAGGATCTTGGTTGTTTAAAAAGAAGCACTGTTCTGTCCTGTCCTGGAAAAAAGCCCCTGTGTTGCATAATATTAACCTCATAATAGTATTGTTAAAATAGTTTGGTAACCAGCATGTAAGGGCTACAGACACTATTACCATCTATACATGTAAGTAATTTCTCAGAACAGAAAGTGGCCGGACTCGTGGAGTTTGACCATTTCTCAGTAGCGTGACACAGTGGCCAAAAATGTAAACACCAGCATAAAAATGACCAACCACTAGAGGGCGGGGGTCAACACTTTCCCTCCCCAGCGGTCAAGACCTGTTCTAGGTGATTATGGGCAGAGACTCTGAGCTGAGAAGAAGGCTTGTGGTAGGCATTATAACGAGGAGGGTTTTGCTTTTTTAATTTGATGTGTCTGTCTGTCTGTCTGTCTGTCTCTGTATCGTTGTATCCATCCATAAATACAGCTGTCCAGTCCTCCCTCAGCTGAAACATCAACATATTTATGTTAACTCTCACTGCTGGACGTCATCTCCATTGAAGGCTGTTTTCTGTATTCAGTCCTCGTCTGCAATCCCCTGTAATATGTATGCCATATTTTCATGGGGGGGACACAGGTGTCCAGCTAACAGCAGATTTACAACACCCAGGACTGGCCTTTGAGCCTCCTCCTCCTGTTTGAGCTGAAAAATGTGCAGACTAATGGATGAAGCCACAGCTTGCAATCATGCTATGAGAGATTCATCACTCCTGTCCACTACTTTTAATCACAACTTCAGAGTTGCCTATCATAAATTGTCACACACGTACACATGGGTTATAATCCTGATAATTAAGCCTGAAATTAATTTATTTTCCCATTAAGATTACAAATTATCTGTCTGTGTCTCTAGAAAGGACAGTCTTCCCATAAGAAGCTATTTGAAAATAAAGGAAATTATATTAAAGTATGAGAGTGAGCTTTGATGACCTCAGTTTTACGTTTATCATTTGCAGTACCTCAAAACCCCTGAATCATATCCTGAAAACAGCAGGAAGCTTCTGTGTTTAGTAATTCAGGAGCTTTTTAAGGCAGATCTCTTTGTCACCTGCAGCTCGTTCTCTAACCTCGTCCTGATCTCTGGAGACCGACTGCCATCCTGCCCGGGTGTTTCAGCAGAGCCGTCCCCGGGGAATGATCATTAATATGCCTTGTTTGCAGTCATGTCTCAGGCAGGAAAACAATTCTGTTGGCCCATGTGGCTGCACTCATGCTAATTAACACTGCGAATATTCATCACATTTAATACGAACACATGGTCCTTTCACAACAGGGTGGAGGGGCATTATGAATATTTTATCTTCATCCCTCTATTTCATCCACTGATTGCCCAGAAAGCACCTTGGTAGAGGTGAGATGACGTCAGTGCCGAAACAAACTTTGCAGGCTGAGCTCACTCACAGGATAAATTTAGGCTCTGTTTTGTACTGGTATCATTTTAGCTGCTGTCTAGTTGATCTAAGTGCTGAATTGTTCGTCTTGTGCTCTTTCCATTTAGTCAGAGCTGTTGATTCAAGATTTATCTCTTCTATCTTGTCCACCTTTATTTCTGTCTTTCTCTACATTCCCTCTCACGCTCCCTAATCTCTCCCAGACAACAGACCATCACTCTTTCTTGTAGCTCTTTGCAAAGGGAAGTCAGACAGCAGAGCAAGTGTCAGCAAAAGTAATTAAACGCTGTCCCACGAGCCGTCTAGTACGCGTAATGAAGAGCTGGCCACACTGACTCGTCTGCCACACTCCTTCATCCTCACTCTCCTCCTCGCTTCCTTTCAGCCTCTCCTCAAACAGGACAGTTGGGCAGTTCCTCGTTCCTGGAGTCGCCCCTCCATCCATCATCGACAACGCACCAACCGTAACAAATTACCCGTCCCCCCTCTTGCCGACCAATCGACTGTTGCCACTGCTCCATTTGCCTAAGAGGATGCTAATGACATCATTTACCAGCTGTCAGTCAAATGCTCACCCGCCACTCAGGCCTGGGTGGTGAAATCTGGAGATTGTACTGGAGAGGCGCTTTGGTGGGCAAATAATAAGGCAGTAATCACAGAATAATGACTTTGCTGATACTCCCTGAAAGCAATCAAAAAGTCAATCTCACATGGTGATAATGGGAGCGTCGGTGAAGTTTGTTTCTGTATTTAAAGCCTTCAAGTAGAAAAAAAAACATGTATGCTTGCGCACATAGGCTTTCACACACAAAAAGCACACATGTTCACTTCTGTCAGAATGCCTGTTTTTTAATAAG